TTTGACTAAATGGTCTAAACACTTTCCCATTTAATTTGTCAGAAAGATTATTGATTTTTTTAGCCCTCCAACTGGAAGTCCACAGCCCTTTCTAAAAAAGAATACCACCACCTGAATCTTGGACTTCATTATTAGCTAGTTTCTCTTCAATCTTGGGAAAATCTTTAAAAGGAGAAACCATATTATTTTCTCTCCAGGAATTTAATACAAATGCTTCACACTCTTGAGAGTGTGACAAGGTTCAATTTCTCATGTTTATAAACACTGGCAGATAGCAAAACGTGAATAAAATGCATGATACAGCTCTGTCAAAGACCTAGCATCAGTTATAAAAATGTTCTACACTGTGATTAGATAGACATGCATAAAACATACATGATGCAGTTGATCTCACCTGAATGCTCAAGGCAAGATTTGAAATTGTCTATTAGATTTCATTTTAAAGATTTTCTATAAAAGTCATTTAAACCATTACCAAAAATATTTATAATATAGCATGATGGGAGGATTTTTATAAGACATATTTACTTGAGATAAGTTGGCTCAGAAATAAGTTATGAGAAACACTGAGAATAAATAAACACACCCTTCATAGGTAATAGAAATGTAGACTTTAAGAATAGTACAATATTTTTGGGGGGCTGGAGTGGCAGCACAATGGGTAGGGCGTTTGCCTTGCACAAGGTCGACCCAGCCAACCCGAGTTCGATTCTTCTGCCCCTCTCAGAGAGCCCGGCAAGCTGCCGAGAGAACCCCATCTCCACGGCAAAGCCTGGCAAGCTACCCATGACGTATTCGATATGCCAAACACAGTAACAAGTCTTACAATGTTATTGGGCCCACTCGAGCAAATCAATGAACAACAGGAGGACAGGGACAGTGACAATATTTTTTCAATTTCTTTATCTAGGACAATCGGTGTCCAAAGCATTTTCATGTGACAGTGATGTAAGCAAATAAAAATAAATTTAAGAGTTTTTGCCAGTTTGTGTTGTAATGCCAGGGGAGGGGCCTTAATCCAGGCCCTCGTACCCCCAAGGTATATGCTCTGCCACTGGATCACATACCAGGCTCTAAAAGTTCCTCTCTGGGTCACTATGACTATTAAGAAAATATCAAGATAAGAGGGACACCCATTTGAAGATGACCAAAGTTGGAACAGAAATTCTTCATGCTAAGAAAAATGGCATAAAATGTATAATTTATTTTCAGTAGACCTATTATAATGTATAATCCTTAATATATTATACATAATATATTATAATGCACTGAATTGTTGAGTGCAGGCTGATTATATCAGTGACAAAAACATGATCCTAGGTCAGTGGGTAAATCTAGTATTTATTATTATAGTAAGACTTTTGACCACTCAGATTGCAAGAAATGTAATATCCTCTGCCTTTCTATTCATATTCTCTTTATGAAAGTTTTCAACGTCCTTACTTTGGATCTACTCACCCATTTGAAACTATATTCTTTTGAAACCAGAAATACTATAATCTGGACACCTTTATACTAAAACAAACTAGCTACTTATTTGGGGTCTTCCACGTAGTGCTAAGGCGGAACCCAGAGAACAATCCTGACAATATTCAGCCAACGTGGCCGGTTCCAGTGATGTGGCACTGCTTTTGCAGTGGTATTGGTGGTCACCCGGCACGCCCCAATGTGCTCACAGGGACATGAGTGCCGGGATTAAATTTTAAGTGCTTGTGCAAGAAAGTTGCACCTTTGACCTGTGATTTAGGTTTCTGCTCCCTGCCCCCCTCCCCCCTCCAACACATCGTTCAAACCTCAGAAATAAGTCACAGCACACTAATTTCTGGGCTATCCGAGTCACACAGCCTTTTCAGAAGTTTTCTTCAACACTTAAAGCATCACCTCTATCATTTCTAGTTAGTTCATTCAATTTTTAGTCAATGGGATACCAAACGTTTCCCTATAATAAAAGTATGCTACAAATAAATTAGCTTAAGGCATGGCTTGATGTGAATTAAAATCATTTCCTCCCAGTTCCCGCGTTTAGTTTAAGTTTCATACCATGTAGCAGTTTGGAGCAATTCCCAATTTGGGGTGTGGGGGGTTACACCCCTGTGGTGCTCAGGGCTTACTTCTGGCTCTACACTCAGTAATTACTCCTGGTGGTGCTCAGGGAATCATATGAGATGCAAAGGATCAAACCCCAGTTAGACCTGTGCAAGACAAGTGCCCTCCCCACTGTACTATCTCTCCGCCTCACAACTTTCTCCTTTTAGCATCATGAAACTCTAAATTTTAAAGAACAGCAAGTCAGATTCTGACTTCTCAGATACTGCTCACGCATACTATGGTAACTGCTGGTGTCTTTACCAAATGTGTTAAAACGGGTGCTCAATGGTTTTCAGGATTTTAACATGTGTCAATGACTTTCCTTAGCAGGGCTAGCAGAAGGCACTGTGGGCTGGTCATAGAAAACAAATCTAAGTTTTCAAAGCAGGTGTTACTCTTGACATAACTATTAAACATCTTGCTTTTTTGCTTCTCTAAAGTTTGCAAAAAATTAAAGAGTAATTTCTCATTTTAATTTTAATGCAAGATCCCATGTTTCATAAAGATCTGGATTCTCAGAGAATGATAGGAATCTGTGAAGTATGTCTCTTAGTATGACACCCAACTCTCCAGTATATAGAGACCTGAGAGTTGAAGAGAGATTCAAGAGATTACGTTTAGAAGTCACAAAAGCAATTACACTCTCTGTAACACTCTTGTCAATTGATAAGAAACTGAAAAGCCCAATTTTTATTTAAAAAGAGCATACACACACACTTATCTAAGAGTGTGCATGTGCGCACGCACACACACACACACACACACATACCCTTATCTTTAACTTCCTGTATTTTCTGTAACACAAAGATCCGGTTTTCCTATAAAAAAATAAAAACACCCACAAAATGAGCCCTAGTTTAATTAGTAATATACTAAGTTCCTCCCCACATGGGGAGTTTTTCTTTCTACTTTCCAATAAACTTTTCTATTTCTAAAAAAGCAAAACAAAAGCAATTAGCATGGCAACCAGCCTTGCCTCTGCAGGGGCAGCACGCAGTCAGAAGAAAAATGAGTCTAGAGGTAGTTATTTTTTGGTTTCTATGCATACATATTTATCAAATTTATGTGAAAGGCTGATAGTGGGATGCAATTTGATGGAAATAGTATGGAAAGCCTTTCTATAAAACATAGAAATGAAGCCAGGGAGATAGAGCAAAGGAACTCAGCGCATTCTCTGCCTGAGGTGTTCCTAATTCAGTCCCCAGTAGCTCATACTCCCCCAGCACTGCCAAGAAATACCCCAAACAAAGACCGAAGAAAGAAATACCATACAATACAGAGCTATAACTCCCATTTATCTGAAGAAATATGAGAATACTAATTCAAAAGGATACCCATATACACCAGGGAGGGTGTGGTGTCATGGAATTAAATGCATGGGAAACCATTAACAGTAGTGTAAATCACAGAACCCCAATCAATTTTTAAAAGTTAAAAAGATATCCATATGCTTCTATGTGTTCCCCATATTCTCATAGTAGCATGATTCACTACAGCCAAAAACTGGAATCAACCAAACACTGATGACTGGATAAAGAAGTTTTGATATATATATATACACCCAATGTATACTCTGTCATTAAAAAAAACCGAAATCATGCCATTTGGGACAAACTGGATGGAACTTGAGGTTATTATGCTAAGGAAATGTCAGGAAGTAAAAACAAACTATCAGATTGTTATATATATATATAATATAAATAACAGAAGCAAACAAAGATGTGGAAAAAACTATGGTGGCCACAGGATAGAAAGAGGATGGTGAGAGGAAAGGGCAGAGAGGATTATTTGGTGATGAGTGGGCATTAAAAATTTGATGGCTGGTGTGATGAGTCATAAACACATATAGAAGTGTTTTTATAATTTTGTAGTAATACACGTTGTAGAGTAATAACTCAATTAAAATGGGGGCAACTTTAACAAACTTTTAAATGGAGGCCAAAGGAAAAGGGAAACAATAAATACATTCTAACATCAAATAGGGTTAAAGAGGATTGAGATCTATCTGTCAGCTAGCTGGGCGATTCTCAATGTCTGCTTTGTGGAAGGATATTTCTGGACTCACCCACACAGATTGTGAGTCAGCAGCAGCAGGTTGTAGTGGCAGGAGTAGGAGAAGAGTAGTACAGTATAGAATTCATATGACGCACCTGCTCTTTGCCAGAAACTGTGCTTGAAGCATATTGAACCATATGAAATGAGATGAGAATCTTTTCGACAATGTTAATCTGGTAGGTGCAACCTACCATTTTTTCTACATGAAGGACTCAAGACACAGAGTGGCTAAGGGCTATTTGTGTTCAAGGACATCCTGCTAGTAAGGATTCAAATAAGGATTCAAACCCAGATAGGCTGACTTCAGCACACTCTCAGTCACCCCACAAAATTACCTCCCAATAGGGTCTGGGAGGAGAGTTAAGGGGTAGTGGTTATTGCAATGTGGATGATAAAGTTCATATAATTTGAGGTGGTGAGAAAGATGTGACTCTGATATGGCTCCCAAGGATAGCCTTCCCTCCCTTAAAATGACTATTCTAAAACCTCAGTATTGTGAAAGAGTCATTATGTCTTCTCTCTTTTTTTTTTAAACAAAAACAGGTAGTCAATCCTCCCAGAATAGCTAGACCTACCCACAGATGTTTCCTTAAAGGCAATACATCCGTTTCCTAATAGTATTTGATATGCCAGATCAGGTCAAAAATTCAGATTTATTGAAAGTGTACCTTTTTACTTATTTATCATTTCTGTTTAGTATTCAAGGTAATTCTGGGGAACAATCCTCCAGAAGTATGCTCAAATCACCAAATCCAAAAGGAAGGGAAAGCTGGCAGGGGCATAATGGATTGTGATGATAACTAGGAGGGCAGGTGCATGCCAGTCCCAATGACATCACTCAGTGGCGTCAAACCAACCTTCATCACTTCCACCTGCAGGTCCTCATTGAGGGATGGCGTCACTTTCACAGCATTCAGGATTTGATTGAGCAGCTGCTTTTCATCGGAGTCGGTTTCCATGGATACAAACCTCTCTTCTGCCAGAAGCTTCTGTAAAGAGGCACAAGGCAGCCATCAGAGATAGGTTTTCCCTTGCTGGTATCTTAGTAGTTTCTGAGGAGAATGTTCTTACTAGGAGGCAGAAGCCTAGCATAGACCATTAGGAAAGAACCATGTGGCCATGTGCCAATAGAAAGAAAAACAAGTTCAACTTTTGGTAAACCATTTTGGATATAGATTTCCTCCCCTTCTCCCCATTAGATAACCCGTACTAACTGCATAAGTCAGGATGGCTGAGCGGTCTAAGGCGCTGTGTTCAGGTCGCAGTCTCCCCTGGAGGCGTGGGTTCGAATCCCACTCCTGACAGTTTATTAGGGGCTGGAGCGATAGCACAGCGGTAGGGCGTTTGCCTTGCATGCAGCCAACATGGCCGACCCGAGTTCGATTCCTCTGCCCCTCTCGGAGAGCCCAGCAAGCTACCGAGAGTATCTCACCTGCATGGCAGATCCTGCCAAGCTACCCATGACATATTCGATATGCTAAACACAGTAACAACAAGTCTCATGATGGAGACGTTACTGGGCCGGCTCAAGCAAATCGATGAACAATGGGAGGACTGTGACCGTAAACTGCATAAGTTACACATGAGCATGGAAGCTGTGTAGGTTATCTGGGTGGTAGGGATGGAAGAAAATATGCCAGATCAGGCCAAAATTTTAGATTTTTTTTGTAGTGCCCAGAGGAATCTATTTCCTCACAGAAGTCTCACACATAGCCCTTGTGATCCCTGAGCATAGAGTCAAGAGTAAGATCTGAGCACTACTGGGTGTGGCCAAAAGGAAAAAAAAAACAGAAGAAACTACCTTGAGTATAGCTAGGCACAGCTTCCAAGCACTCAAAGCCAGGAATAGCCCCTGGTTACTAGGTGTGAACCCCAAACTAAATAATAATAATAATAATAATAATAATGGAACTATAATGCTAAGGAAAAAGGAAATGTAAGAGATAGGTCAAAAAAAACAAAACACATCCCCCACCCCCTACCCCCAACACCACCACCACCAAGCTGAGCTCTCTTTCTTCTCTATAGTTGGCTCTACCATTATCTTCAAGGACAAAAGAGTTTTTATAAAATTATTGATGGCGTTTTAAATGACTACTGCTATATTACATATTGAGTCATGCATTATAGAATTCTAAGGCACTGGGGAAAAGAGTCGTAATTTTCTCACCCGAACATATTAACTCTTAAAGGCTAATAGCATCTCCTCCGAAGTTAAAGAGGTGCTGATGAAATAGTACAGACCAATGGGAAAACACAACTGACAGATGCCACCAATAATGGTTAGGCAAAATAAGCCCCCACAGGCTGTGACTCTGCAGTAAAGGTCACTTAGAAATGGAAACACTTCAAAAGTCTAAGTATGTCTACAGTGCCCTGTGGTTTCTGGATGCTGTTGTTCATGCACAGCTCTCCAGTGGATAGAAGGGGCCAGAGTGATTCTGTGATTTATGCATATTACTGTTCTTCCTTGGCAGTCTCCATAGCCCATTCACTGAGACATGGCGGTAATCTATATACTCACGTTACTGGACAGTACTCTGTCAGTCTAAGTTTTTGGTTTTTGTTTTGGCTGCACCCGTTGGTACTCAGGCCTTACTCCTGGCTGGCTGCTCAGGGATCACCCTTGAGCTATCATATGCTTTGCCAGGAATCAAACCTGGCCCATCACATGCAAAACAAACTCCCTGCCCTCTGTACTCTCCAGTCCCCTGTAACTATTTCTTAGAGTAATAAATTTTATTTCTCTTGCAGGAAAAAAAAAGTCTAAGTATGTCTACAGTTATCACCTTTGTGCTGTTGGAAGTAGACTTAATGTGGAGTAAGAAACAAATAAGAAAATGCTTAGGGAAGGAAGTTTGTTCAGGGAATATGGCATTCTTTATAACACCAAATTTCTTTTTTCTTTCCAGCCTAACTCCAGAAAGAAAACATTAATTTGTTTATCTCCCTAACTGTAGAACATAAATGTTCTATAGGTTTACCGCAATTATCATCCCATAAAACCAGAAATATTTTGAGGTATCAAGACCTTTAAGTTGTGGTGCTGGATAAATAGTACAGCAGGCAGGGTGCTTGTCTTGCACACAGCCAACTCACAGTTCGATCTCAGGTACCCCAGATGGTTCCCCCAGCCCCATCAGGAGTGATCCCAGGGGGCCAAGCCAGGAGTAAGCCCTAAGTACAGCTATATGTGACCCCCCCAAAAAAAAAACAAAACAAAAAAGCAAACAAACCTTTAAATTGTATATAATATGATTCTTAAATTATAAAAGTTATAAAATATTTACGTTAGTCTATCTTCTGGAATTCCAAACTCTTCTAAAAGCCGAACATCGCCAGAAAAAAAAAATTGTCACTTCTGTATAGACTAGCTGCATTCCCTGGAGTGAGTGCTAGGTGACAAAGTGTCAACACGAGAACATGGTGCACAGAGAAATGCTTGTAAAGACAAGAAAACTCTGTTCTTCATGGTTATTACCTAGTTAAATCAATTTTCAGTCCAGGTCTTTAAACAGTATTTAAAGTGTTCACTATTTGCTCCTCAATCCCAACATAGCCTGTTCATTTCTGCCACCCGATTGCACTCAGCGAGAGGTGTACCTGTATTCCTGCCAAGGCATGTTGGGCCAGCTTCACGTTCTTGGATTCCAAAGCCAACTGGAGAGGCAGCAGGCATTTCTCCCTGGCAAACACAAAAATAAGGACAGCATGTGAGCCCAGCAAAGCTGGCAGTTAGTGAAATAAGCCTTATGTACACAGACCCTCCAACCAACACCAATCATGAAACTGCACATGGGCTTAAAAAACACACACACACACCAAAACATGCAAGGCAGAAATAATAGCCTATGAGCAGCTTGCCTGCTTAGTATGGGTACAGGAGAAACAAGGACTCTCAAACACGTGCTCTGCTGCATTAGTTATCATACGGCAGGATCCTCAGACATGTCTTCATCATTCCTAAGTTAATATCTTGTACCCAGGATAAGATCAATAAGTTGTGCTGGAGAGACAATTGCAGAAAGTTCTAGAGTAGATTCCTATGCCTTGCTCATACATCTCCCTGACCTTGACAGTTACCATTATTACCTTTATTATTCTATTATTCTGCCTCATGGATTAAAAACTGAAATCCTATTTACTATTTAATTTCTCCCCTAGCTCAAAGCAGCCAGCAGATAATCTGTTATAATTTTTAAAAGTGCTTTTCAGTCTCCATCTGGTAGGTCAGAATCTAAACTTTGTGACAGTTTCTGAATAAACACACCTCCAAGAAAGAAATACAATGAACCAGCAACAGCTTTGACCAATGAGAAGTACTTGGTGTCATGGGACAGATTAAACAAATATATGGGGACAAGAGTGATAATACAGTGGGTAGGGAGCTTGCCTTGCCAGGAAGACGTGGGTTTGATCCCTGGCATCCCATATGGTCCCCTAGCACCACCAGCAGTGATATCTGAGTGCAGAACCAGGTAAAACCCCTGAACATCACCAGTTGTGGTCCCCAAACAAAACAAAACAAAATACCAATATATATTGAGACTTACTTGGTTATATTCAAGTAATTTTTTAAGGACATTGGAAGATGGTAAGAACATGCCAAAAATGCTACAAAGAGAAACAGATCTTTTTGTCAGAAGCATTTACTCTAAATTATTCAGCAGGAGAGTAAGATCATTATTTCCCTCCTTTGACATAACAAATACAATGTGATTTAACTGTACCAGGTTCCTCTGATGCCTGCTTAAAGCAGAGAAGTCCCTTTCTCATCTCTCTTATAGTTCCAGCACTAACAGAGAGTTTCACTGGCTTTCTGGAGTGTGCAAGCCACAAGGGAAAATTACTGATTTGGATAAATCAGGGCCACTATTGTTGAATACAATGCGACAGAAAGTCAATTATAGCTCTGACTTCTTCCTGTGTGCCTTGCAGTTTTGCTACATTAACATGAACTCACCCTATGTGCAGGTCCCTGACAGATGAAGGGAGCATCACAGACACTCCCTAACACCAACCACAGAGGCAAACACAGACTCTATCAGGAGAACATTCACTATTTCAACCTTCTCCTCTCTCCCCTCACCCACCCACTATCACAATACCCACTTTTCTATGACAATTCATTACACTGCAGTCATTTTTCACTAGAGACAACTTTTGACAGATGGATAAATTACCCAACTGTCTTACTTCCAGTTGGGTGGCTATAATTTTGTCGCTATATTGTTATTATCAGCTTGTCACAGTTAGAAGGAAAACACGACTGTGTAGTCAATTAAAGCAGGAATAGCTGACTTGTCCCATTTTGTTTATTTTATTTAATTATAACCAATTTATAAGCATGGAAAAAATTAATTGGTAGGGTGTGAGTGTGAGTTGAATGGGAAGTGTGAATAATGGGCAGATGGACTATTAACAGGAGACCCAGAAAACTTCATTTGTAGACCCTAGAAACAAATTCCTTCAGGCTTTATTCTCTGTGAAACAATGTGAGTAAGAAGTGTGATTCAAAACTCATATAATCTCTGAGCCCTAAACAGAAAAGGCTCTGCTAAGTAGCTCTGTGCTGAAAACGCACAACTATTACATCTTGCTCATCAAGGGCATCAAACAGGAGTGAGTGCCATCTTACATAAAACAAACCTTCCTGAAGATGCTGAGCCTGCCAACCCTTTGGAAAGAGCCAACAAACTGGTCCACAAACAAGTGCTTTCCCACCTCATTCTGCTATCGACAGTATTCGTCCTAGAAACCCTCACTCCAGCCAGGATCACCAGGCGGGGAACAGAAACATGGAACGGGTTCAGCACAAACTGCATATCTATCTAGTGGAAAGAGCATGAACTGTGAAAGGATCAAGATTTGGATGGTAACTCAAACTATTTAAGACAGAAAATGTCAGAAAAAGAGGCTATCAATAAAACTAAAAGACTCCCAATGAAATGGGAGGAAATAACTGCTCCTCATACATCTGACAAGGGGTACCTGTCCAAGAAGTGCAGAAAAGAAAGCAAAAAAAAATTCCATTAAAAATGTGTAAAGGACGTGTGCTAGGTGAAAAGGAAGCTCAGATAGAGAAGAGAGCACCAAATAAAGGGTGTTGTGAGACCCTCCCAGGGTGGGAAAAGCATGCTAAAAGTAGTCTATAGACCAAACATGATTGTCACTCAAGGCCTCTCTTGCAAAACACAGTACCCAAAAGAAGAAAGAGAGAACAAGGGGGAATGCCCTGACACAGAGGCAGGGTGGGATGGGGGGGGATGGGGGGTGGGAAGGATGCTGGGACCCGTGGTGGTGGAGGATGGGCACTGGTGGAGGGATGGGTACTTGATCATTGTATAACTGAAACCCAAGCACAAAAATTTATAAGTCTATACCTGTACCTCATGGTGTTTCACTAATAAAAAATATTTTTTAAATAAAAAAATAAACACAAAAAATGTGCAAAGGAGAGCAATATACATATCTCCAAAGACAACGTGCAGATGGCCAACCCAAATGGAAAAAAGTACTTATTAATCCTTGTTAAGAAGATGAAAATTAAAACTTCGATGAGAAGTTACTTCACAAATCTAAGAATGGCTTAGGTCATAAAAATCAGAAACAGTAAGTTCTGGGGGAAAAGTAATCATCATGTACTGTTGGTAGGAATGTAAGCTGGCTCAGCCTCTATGAAAAACAGTATGAAAATTTCTAAAATTACTTTTTAAAAAATAGACTTAGCATGTGAATTAGCATTTCTACTCACAGGTAGCTATCCAGATAACTTTTTTATCCAGATAATTTTTTAAAAATTCAAAAAAGGTACACACTTTCCTATGTTTATTGAACTTCTATTTATAATAGACAAGATAAGGAAATAACCCACATATCTCATGATGAATGATTGATAAGCTAAAAATATGATATGCACACAAGTGGAATACTGCTCAACTACAAAAAAAAATGAAACTTTTTCTCTTGTGACAACATGAATAGAACCTTAGAGGGTCATGCTAAGCTAAATAAGTCAAGAAGAGAACAACAAGTACTGGATTTCATTCATATAGTGTAGCATAAAGAAACAAAGCAAAGGAACAAACAGAACATAACTAACCAAACTCTTGGATGCTAATCATGGAACTGAGGTTACAGAAGAAGACAGCGGATGAGTTATGAGCAAAGGGTGGAAAATATTCAGTAGAGTCGAGGTGGAAGGGTACTGGTACTTTGGTGGCAGGTATGGTGTGGTAACATAATTTGAAGATGTATGAACGTGTATTTCTTGAGTAGTGTGTAAACCAATGTTACTTCAATAATAAGTTCTTTAAAAGCGTGCCGTTTCAATCAACATACTTCATTTTGCTAGATCTTAGCTCCCAGATCCTTTAAAGGGGTTTCTGAAGACAAATCCTGCAGGGCTGTAGAAGGGAATACTGACATTTTTCAGGAGGTTCTAAATTTTTCCCATAAAAAGACTGAGAATAACAAATATTCTAGGCTTAGATGATCATATACGGTCTCTGTCCTAATTGGTCAATGCTGCCACAGTACAAAAATGGTCACAGACAATATGGAAATTGATGAGCTAACAAAGCTTTAGTTTCAAAATGAGACAACAGAACAGATTCGGCTGTATAGTTTGCCCAGCCCTGATATAGACAAAAGCCCAGCAAATATCATGGTTTTCAGCACAGAATGAGTATAGCTGATCATGTTAAGAGTATCCAGAAAGGTTTTTCACAGGATCTGGGTTAACTCTCTTGGAGAATCTCAGCAAAACCAATTATAGCATCAAAATCTCTCAGGGAATGTTTTGAGGAAGCAGTTTGATATTTCATGGGCACTCCATCCACCTGTCATACATTCAACCAACATGTGAGTGCCTAGGATGTACAAGGCATCATGATGGGTGCTTGAGAAGATATGGCAAGGAACAAGACATCACTGATACTGACTTTCTTTATTCACGGGATGAAAGAGGGGGAAAAGTTAGCAAAGATAAAAGCTGTCATATTTTTATTTGGTCTACCTGTCTTGACAAGTTTAAAATTGCCATTCTTCCCCTTATTTTGGTTTCTGTTTTCTGTTTTGTTTTGTTTATGGTTTCTGGGCACTGCTCTGGTCTTATTTCTGACTCTGCTCAGGGATCACTTCTGGTGGGGCTCAGAGACCCATAAGTAGTATTGAGGACCAAAGCTAGGTTGGGTTACTTGCACAGTAAGCAACCAACCGATTACATAATCTCTCTGGTCCCTCTTCCCATTGTTCACAAAACGGGGTACAGAAAGACTTCATTGCCTGCTGGAAATCAGTTGATGTCTGCTGAACACAATTCTAGCTCAAATCCATCTGACCTTCATGACCAAGTCCCCTCCTTAGGTTTCAAAAGAGATCAGAATTAAAATGGAATAGATATTTTTCTTATTCTTTAAAAGAAATTATCAATACAAAAACACTGAAAAAGACTCTCTAGAAGAGTGCACAAATCATTTCCAGGATCATACCTAAACTTTATATGGATTCCAACTTGAAAGTAACCGACCTTGACATCCCACAGCTATCGCCATGTAAACTCATCTGCCCAGCTTTACAGACTCATGACTAATCTTGGAAGGGAGTGATAACTAAGATTGATAAATTCACAGGTACACTGGACTTATGGCTGAAAACTCTGAGGAGCACTCTGGAATGGGTTAG